CCCAGATGGTAGGCGTTCGAGGATTGATACGGAAGAAGTTGGTCGTCGTGCTAGGGTTTCTGATGACGATGACCATAAAAGCTCGCGAAGAGATCTCGAGATTGGCGGAGATGACCGGAAATCGAAGCGAGACGGGAAAGGAAGCGAGAGAAGCCGTGCAGATAAGGTTAGATCCGATAGTTCTTCTGATGATGATAAAGAAAGAGATAGAGGTAATAGAATGGAGGTAGATGATGATGCTGATGCTGAAAAGAAGGTAACTAAAGGAAGAAGCAAGGATAGAGTTAGAGCAGACACTTCTTCTGATGAAGAAGAAGAGAAGCGTCCTTCAAAGGATACTGAAGATGGAAGAAAGAGTCGTAGGGGTTTGGACGATGAAGATGGTGATTTGAAGGGGAATAAAAAGGTGGTTGAGGAAGATTATGAGAGGAGAGGAAGGAAGAGAAGTCCCAATGACAGGGATAAGCGTCATAGGAGCAGCAGAGTCATAGCAGATAAACCTTCTGATGAAGAAGATGATAGGCAGAAGAACAGGAGAGGTAGGCGTGAAGTCGAAAGGAAACGTCGAGATCATCGAGCTTCTGAAGACGATGAGGAAGGTGAAATTAAGAGTGGCAGAAGAGGAGACGAGAGAAGGACTGATGGGCATGATAACGGGAATCGGCGGAGGGATATTGAAAGGAAGGATAGGTATCGGAGAGACGATGGAGTTAGAGATGAAAGGGAGAGGAGACAAAGTGATAGGTATGATGATAGTCAAAGAGACAAGGTGAGAAATGAAGATAGCAGGAAAAGGGAAGAGAAGATTGAAGTTGCAAAGCCTAAGGTGCCTGAACTCAATCCATCTGGGAACAATGCTATGGCTTTGGGAAAAACTGGTGGAGTTTATATTCCTCCGTTCAAGCTAGCACGCATGATGAAGGAGGTGGAAGACAAGAGCAGTGTAGAGTATCAACGTCTTACATGGGATGCTCTTCGTAAAAGTATTAATGGGCTGGTGAATAAGGTTAATGCAAGCAACATCAAGAACATAATTCCTGAACTGTTTGCGGAAAATCTCATCAGAGGAAGGGGTCTTTTCTGCCGTTCGTGTATGAAGTCTCAAATGGCATCTCCTGGATTCACTGATGTCTTTGCAGCTTTGGTCGCTGTTATTAATGCCAAGTTCCCTGAAGTTGCTGAACTTCTATTGAAAAGGGTCGTGTTACAGCTTAAGAGAGCGTTTAAGCGTAACGACAAGGTTTGTGCTTTTCCTGCTTTCCCAATCTATGAGTTTTGTGAAGC